TTTACAAGAAAATAGAAACCTTGCCTATTTTCCCACAGATCTTACTTTCAGAGGAAGCACTTCAGACAGAACACCTTTGTTCATCAGTGTTTCAGCAATCCAGTCAAATCACTGCTCTGGAGAGGATATTTCTTGAGAGAATGGCACATAAAATAGTGGACAATTATTTGGTTAATCAAAGAACCCACCCGTAAAAGAATAACTTTCCTATTATCCTGTGGAGAGTTTTTGTTTTATCATGCAGATATTGTTTTAAAATAGACCATAATAAATAAACTTTTTATAGATCAGTTTCTGTATATGAGGGGAAGTGAGGGGGGAGGGTATTTAGTCTGATAGAGGCAAAACATTCTCCAGGACAAGAATGACTCAGGAAGGTCATTCATTATGTCAGTCACACAAGCTTGCCACTCATGAAGTATGGCCTTCAAACCAGGAAGTAGAAGTGAGGAAGAGGCAAGTAATGCATCTGAAAGCTTTTATATGTCCCATGGGATAAGCAATGTCCCAAATGAGGAGATGGGGCTTTAAAAACTCCAAGTCAGGCAAATATTGGTGGAGCTATTATACTTCCTTGGAACTAGAATATAATTGTTACAAAATCATAAATCTATCAAAGTTTATTAACGACCTTTACTATAGTTATTTCTATTCTCCCATCCTACTGTTCTGTCCCATTACTCCAAGCAAGTAGTTAAAATTAGGAATCAAACTCAAAATAAAAAATAGGAATCCTCATTACTCCAATCTCCAAAACATTTTGCTCTACTTTTCTCTTTAACTGTAGCTCCATCTTACTTCTCACTCTGAGCTACCTTTAAATAGCTCCTCTCTATTGATATCCTCACTTTAAATGTTGAGCCCTAATAATTCTATCTCCTAATATCTTTTCCATATGCACCCCTTCTTCCTCTCTTGTTTCTGCTGCCTTGGTTCAGGCCCTCATTATCTCTAGCCTGAAACAGTTTCTTTAATGTCTCTCTGTACTCCTATACATCCGACACAGTGCTGCCAGATTAACTTTCTTGGAGGAAAGCTCTACTCCAGCAATTTATTGTGCTAACACATAGTCAATGGTTCCTCCATAACCTTCAGTATAAAGTTCAAATTTCTAAGCCAAGAATTAAAGGGTCTCTGTGATGAACAGAACCTACTTTTTCAGTTTTACATTGCATATGCATCTTCATATACTTTAAAGTAGAACTTGAACTCTCTGCTGTTTTAAAGCTCTCTGCCTGTTCCGTTTGACTGAAATGTCCCTCCCCTCCATATCTGCCTGTATACTTTCTTTCACTCTCCAACCAGTTACGACCCACTTTTCCCAGAGAACTTTTCCATGGTTTCCTAGACAGGCACAATCTATCTTGTAAACTCCTATAACATTTTATCTACATAGCACTCATGGAACTTTAAATGACATATTAAATGACATTGAATTAGAGTTCATTTTGTCTGTATTTTGTACCTTTTACTAGAATATAAACTCTTTAAATTTAGAGACCTTTGCTTTACTCATGATAGGTATGCAATATCATGTAGCATAGTGGTTCTTCACCTAGGGCCCACAGACCCCAAAAATCTGTCCATAGAATTCAGGAAGTCTGAAAATTTGGTTGGAAAAAAAATATTTTTCACCAATATTTTTAACTGAAAATGTGATTTCTTTAAATTATCAAAGCAGGCAACAAATAATAAATTCATAAATTCATAGTATCTGTGAGATTATAATCAATAGTATAACAATATATAGATTACATTGTACTTGAAGATTATCTCAAAATACCTTTTATGCTTATCACTACTTCAAAAGTATATTTTTAGTCCTTCCACTAGATCTTGTGTTTAATTCATTAGTAAAATAGTACTTCCTGCCATATCACAAAATGTTTAAATTAACATTTTAATATAATTCATTTTCTCTATAATTCCATGAACTTTATGCATTTACAATAAGGATAGACCTGTAGGGATCATCAACCCACCAAAGGGATCCACAGCCAAAAAAAGAAAGCAACATGGTAAGAATCCCTCAGTTCTAATATAGCACCTTGCATAGTAAGAAAAAAAAAAACTTGTAGAAAAATAATCATACTATGAAGCTCTTGATTAGGGCTATTAAAAATATGCCATGAACTACAGAATACTAAATAAGCATATTTAGTTCATAAAAATTCATAGTCTTGGAAGAAAAAGACCAATCACCTCTCCTCTACAATAACCTTTAAAGATAGCAATTAAGATTTCTGTATACCTCCAAAGGTAACTTATTGCCTTCCAAAGAAAGTTTTTCATACCTGGACAACTACACTGTTTGATAGTTGGTCCTATTATAAAGTAAAATATGTGATATATAATATTATATGATAATATTACTAGTTCCTCCAATTGTTCTTCTTATTATATAACTGTGTCTGTTCTCATATCGATTGTTCTCTGAGATATCCCAATGCTTCTGAGTTCCTCTAAAAGTGTAGTAATTCTCACCTTAACACATACTTCAGATGTATTGTATTGAGCAAGAAGTTCAGTGAGCCTGAGGCCTCTTGAATCTTACCTACTGTAATTCTAGGTATGTAATTATATACAGTAACTGTCATGCTGACTAGGATAGCACTGGCAATTTTTTGGTAATATTCACCATGCTGACTCCATTGCTCTATCACCTTAAACTTATATGTGGGCTTTTTTTTTTTTTAAATCATGTGTCTGCTATTTAAATTTTCTCCAGTAATTACTTGTGCAGATAGGAATTTTGGTCACAGCCTCTGGACTTGACAGTAACATCTATTAAATTTTATCTTGATGAGTTAAAGTTTATATTTTGGGTTTGTCAAAAATTTTCGAGTTTTTGTTTCTTTCATACAATATATTCAGCATTTCTCCTAGATTTTTGGACTCTGTAGGTTTGATGAGCACACTTTTTATCATTTCATATTTGTACTTAGTGGACTATATATGTTGATATGCACTAAAAATGTCTGAATTTCTGATGCCTAAAATATATGTACTTTAGAAAACAAAGTTCTGTAATGTACATTAAAAAACATTTTTTAATAATAGGAATATAATGATAAAGGACTCTTAAATGAGAGGTCTCATATTGAAAGTGCCACACTTAAATCAAATCTATAACACACAGTAATGAAAAGGAAAAATAAACTAATCATTACTTGCAAGAGAAGAATGAGTTTAAATTCCCTAACAGTCTAGACCCTTCCCCCTAAAAAATCATCACAAATCAATTTCTTTATTTTTACATAACAGAATCCTCTAAAGTATGCTGAAAAGTACTTTCTTATAGAACTAAAACCATCTTTTTGATGAATCACAAAAGTAATCTAGCAATCTCATTTATTCCTAGTTTATTGACCTAGCAACCTCAGTTATTCTAGAACATAGGCACGAATGAGAAGTAAAAGTTTCTGAACAGCCAGAAGAGTCAGTACAGAGTCTATGAACTGAAGAGCATGTATATTTCCCAGAATCTCTCAGCAACTCACCCAGAAATGTGCGTTCATATTTTAAATAGTGTCTAGAGTGTTATGATCATCTAATTTAATAACTGAAGGATAAATATAAGAAGCAAATTAGAAATTATTCACAACTAAGTAAGAAGTTACAGCCTGAAACCTGACATTAAAGGAAGAGAAACCAACACACACACACACACACACACACACACTCGCACGCCAAAAAAGGTATCTAAATCAAGCATGCATAGGAACTCCAAAGTTTCATAATTGCAGAGAAATAACCATAAAGCAACTGCCCTAATTATCTCAATGATCTCTGGGGGCATCATTACATTATAGCATGGTAAAGTAATTGGCATTTATAATACAACAATCATCACAATACCTCAAATGTATGTTCATAAGATCCATATTAATTATTATAATTAATTCTCAAAATGTTTAAAAAGTCAGGTTACTACCATACAAAATTTTAAATTTTGTGATTCAGGGAGATTGAAAAACTTACCCAGGGTCACGTGATTGTTAGATAAGTATTGGAGTTTATAGTCTACTGCCTCATGACCCTGAGTCATCAAAAAAAATTTACATTTTGTACCATATAATCTAGTTAGTAAGCCTGGGAAATGTAATACATTTTAGAAACTTCCATCAAGATTGCTGATGTTGTGGGCAGGTAACAAAAATTAATCTGAAATTTCTAAACTTTTGAGCCTTTTAAGGAATAAAATTAAGTTACATGAAAAATTCCCTTATATCAAATCCCCATTTCCCTATAGTACCACAGAGGTTTAAATTTAACTTGCATATAAGTAGTGATTCAGTGCCATTAATTACTCTATATTTTAAAGTCTAAAATCTGTACATAAAAAAATGAAAGAACATACATAGGATAGCAATCACTTAGAGTTGATTAATTTAAGCATATTATTAGAGAGTCTCCTTTCATCTAGTTTTTAGAACCTAGGTTAACCTAAGTGGACTCTTGTAGAGAGAGGAGAGTAGATGTCATGTGTCAAAGAATTCTCTCCTTGAACACGGTTTTAACAATATTAGAAACCCTCAACTCTCAATTCTACAACATTTGAAGGTAAAATAATAATATTTATAAGTTTATAATAATTGTAAAAATGAGGATAAATAAATTAGGCTTTTTTTCTTTTTAAACAGTTAATATTTTCATAATAAAATACTATCCATTGAAAGGAAATATGGGAGGAAAAGCTGAAAAATAGTGTTGCAGCTGAGAAAATACCTATACTACCTTTTTCCAGAGCAAGGCTTATAGTCAGTTTAAAACCTCGATTTGTTATTATAAGAATCAAGTAAAATGCACAGAGTTGTAGAAAAATGGAACTATCTGCCTTACACTTCTAATGGATCACAATCTGCCATCACCATGGTAACCTCTGAATAACTTTTTCCTTGCTAGTGCCAATTATGCACTCCCCTGGCCCTTGAAACCCACTCTCTTTTTTAAGCGGGAACCTCTGAGAGAATAAAGCCCTCAGTTCGGTGCACACATACCCTCTTGTTCAGTCCGAGTCATTTCCTCAAGCTTCTTCTGTTTCAGTGTGTCCACCACATCGGCAAGGCTCCCTTTGCGGCGTTCTGGGGTTCCAAAAGTAACACTGGTCATTATCTCGCGGTCCCGACTCCCTTCGTCAGGCTTATGTGGTGAGGTAGAGGTATTTCGGAAGGAATATAGGGAACATAACTTATTATTCTCTGACTCCTAGGAAAAAAAATAAAATAAAAATCATTAGAACACGTTTCTTTGTATATCATTGAAGAAAAATATCAAACTCAGAATGACAGTATATGAAGTTGAGATGGACAAATAAAATACATTAATTATCTCTGTTTAAAAAAAAAATTATAAAAGGAAAATGCATTTGTAGCTCTGAGAGCTACAAATTAGAACTGAGAGCTTGAAGCAACCATTATTGGCCATAGCCCACTAGTAGTCTTGCATTCACCTTGTCTGTCTGTGTATGGAAACTTTCTCTCCTGTTAAAAAAAAATTGTGTGAAATAAATAAAGCATCTAGACTTTGTGATTCTCATCAGTTTAAAAATCTTAATTGCTTCTATATCTCTCTACCCTTCTTCATGCACACACAAAAAAGCCCAGTAGGCATCAAGAGCTAGAGGAAGAAGCATGGGGCAAAAGTTGGAGTTAAAAAAAAAAAAGGTACAGAATTAATCACTGGTAGGAAAGGGAGTGAAAAGGAAAATGGGAGTATAGAGAAGAACATTTTCCATATACATTAAATAAGATAACTATACTCAATAAATGCTAGGTATTTAGGTATTACTGTCATTGCATATAAGGAAGGAATAAAACTTATTTCCACAGCTATTGGTAGCATATAATGAGGTAACATTTATAAAGTAACTAGGCACAGATCTGAACCTAAAGCAGGTGGTGTTTAGTAAACAGTAGGTACCAGTATTCTGATGGAAGAAACAGATCTAAGGGTGGAGCCAAGGAATTTCTTCCCCCTCTGGACCTAAGTAATTGCTTAGTAAAAAAAACGAAAAAAATGTCCTGAACTAAATTGAGTACTGTAAAGTCTGTGAATATACTAAAGACCACTGAATTATACACATCTAATGAGGAATTGTGTGGTATGTGTACTATATCTCAATAAAGCTGTTCTGAATTACTATGAGACAAATCTTAATTTTTTTCCACTATCCCACTGCTAAAAACACCTAGCACAGAGCAGATGTTCATTACATTTACACTGAAATACACTGAAAAGGATAAAACTAATGTGCAGGAGAGCTCCTCTTTACATTGTTCCCAGATCTTTTCTTTCCCAGGAAATATGTTCTACTTAATGCCTACAATAAGTGTGGAGTGATGCAGAGGAAGTCTTTCTTTTAGATGTTAGTCATGGTTAGTACACAGCTCCTTGGAGTGGCCAGTTCGCTCTCAACTTTGTGAAAACAAACACTCAAGAGATTTTCTTGGCTTCCATGGTGGCTCAGATGGTAAAGATATGCCCTCAATGCGGGAGACCTGGGGTTCAATCCCTGGGTTGGAAAGATCCCCTGGAGGAGGGCATGAAAACCCACTCCAATATTCTTGCCTGAAAAATCCCCATGGACAGAGGACCCTGGTGGGCTGCAGTCTACGGGGTCACAAATATTGGACACGACTGAGAGACTAAGCACATATGTTTGCCAGAGCCAATCTCAGCTCTTAATAGTGCCCCTAAGAAACATTACCAAGGCTTTTTGGAATCAATAATCACCACTTGACAAATTATGCTTCAATCACTTTCATTTCTCATATTACTGCCTATAAATAAGAAACAAACTCTATCTCAACCTAAGGGGTTGAAGATCAACTCAAAACAACAGTTACATGGAAGTGGTTACTTACAAATGACTCACTGTTGACCATAATAAAAGAGGATTTTTCCCGTCACTCCCAACTTGAAAGGTACTAGCAGTGTCTTACCAGCCTGAGTTACAGTAGTCCTTAGAGAATTTAGGCCCCATACACTACCATTTTTTTTCTCAGAACTAATTTCAGTCTTATTTACTCATGTCATTTACTTGTTGGATAGGCTATGTTCCCTGTTTTTTACTCATGAGAATGTAGTCACCATCATCCACCACAGACAGTGATGGGTTCCCTCACCAATGACGCATATTGTCCTCAGCCCCAAAATCTGTGCAGTGTAACTCAACACCATCAAGAAAAAAATAAGAAGAAGCTAGAAAGCCATGTTTTCTCCAAGAAAGCAACAAGAACTACTTACAACATGGCACAAAGGCACCAACACTAGCAGAAGATGAAATTATAAATTACTTAAGTTATATAAGTTATCTTACACTATCCTTAGGAACAAAGAAAAGGGGCAAAATTGACCATTTATGGTCTTTAATTTTTAATTTTCTAAAACTAAAAACATATGGTCCTCTCATGAATGAAAGCCTATAGTCAATTCATCAGAATAAAAGGGCACATGAATCCAAACACTTCCAAAGAAGAGATTTGTTCTTGTCATTGTTTTAGTCACTGAGTGTTGTATGACTCTTTTATGGCCCCATGGACTGCAGCTTTCCAGGATCCTCTGTTCATGGAATTTTTCAGGCAAGAATACTAGAGTGGGTTGTCATTTCCTTCTCCAGGGGATCTTCCTGACCCAGAGGTCAAACCCATGCCTCCTGCATTGGCAGGTGGCTTCTTTATCACTGAGCCACCTGAGAAGCCCAATGAAGAGATTAATGCTAGATAAAAAGCAATATTGGGCTTCCCAGGTGGCACAGTGGCAAAGAATCTGCCTGCAAGTGCAGGAGACGTGGGTTAGATCCCTGGGTCAGGAAGATACCCTGAAAAAGGAAATGGCAACCCGCTCCGGTATTCTTGCCTGGAAAATTCCATGAATAGAGGAGTCTGGCAGCTTACAGTCTATGGGGTCACAAAGATACATGACTGAGCATGCATGCATAAAAGACAAAAACAACAGATCAGAAAAAGAAACTTGACAAAGGATCTCTAATTTGTGTTCTGGGGGGTAGGTAATTTTTAAGTAAGTTTTCTCATAGGAAAAAAAAAAAGCTCAACTTATTCTTTAATTTCCTGTAAATGAAATAGGTCCTATGAACTACCAACTGAGACAAGATGCCCAACAATCACATCTCTCAAGTTTTGATGCATGTTACTGCAGCACAGCTTATTTGTTTAAAGCAGTGCTTCGCCAACTTTAACATACAGTATTCCCTGGAAAGTATGTGAAAATACAGACTCCCTTACCCCTTGCCAAACCCCCAAAGAGTGGTGCCCAGGAATATGAAGTATAATAAACATCCCAAGTGATTCTGATGCACAGGTCCTCTCATTCTGACGCATCCTACTTTCAGAAACACTGATTCCCTATAGAAAGCAATGAAATGAATGTGTTTTGCCTTAATGTTACAATGTGGATATGATTATGAACATTTGTAAGAAGCCTGGTTAATTGTGATTTTAAAAAATAACATAAAGGAGATTACTTCTCCTCTTTTGATCTTTCACATGAAAACAACCAATGTATAACATGGCTAAACACATGAACATCACAAAAAGAAGAGTGTAGAGGGCACTGAGTAAGTATTAGCTCATTCAAAGAAAACTTATGTTTTCTCTTAGCCCCTGACCTTAGTGCCCTCACCAAACTTAACAGTGAATAAAATTTCAAAATATTATTTAAAAGGAACCTAGTACCAATACAAGGACTAAAGCAGTGTTGGTTCAGATTATCTAAAGCATTTAACTGGAAATTAATTAAACGCAGTACAAAAATTATATGTAAATGACAATGTATATAGTAGCATTAAAAATAGTTATTAGGCAAAGTTCCTAGAAACTATGAGCAATTTCCACAAATTAAGAATATGAAAAGATATTTTCATATATGAAGGGACAGAGAAGTCAATATTAAAAACAAAACATGTGAAGTGATAGATGTTAACTAAACTTATTTTGGCATGTTAGTGAGAAACACCAATGTATTTTTTAAGAAAAAATTATGTACATAAGACAGAATTTCCAACAAAATGTTAATGGTCCTGAGTCTTGAAATAATGTTCTGTGCTCAGTCATGCCCAACTCTTTGTGACTCGACAGACTGTAGCCCTCCAGGCTCCTCTGTCCATGGGATTTTCCCAGCAAGAATACTGGAATAGGTTACCAATTCTTCCTCTAGGGGATCTTCCCGACCCAGGGGCTGAACCTGCATCTCCTGCATTGCAGGTGGATTCTTTACCACTGAGCCACCAGGGAAGTCCCTTGAAATAATTGGTAGTTTTATATTTTCTTTTTGAAATTAAATATATTTTGCAAATGTTCTATCATCCATAAGACTTTTAATCAGAAAACAAATACTATTAATATGTTCAAGATTGAACATGAATAACAAAAAATGTTGTAGCAATAATTTATTTACAAGGGAGGAGGCCCCAAATGGAGAAAAAAGATATAGCGTTTAGTATATAGCTTCAATTTTGTTACATGCATGCATAAGGATAAAGGTGGTCACACACACAAAAAAAAAAACTTGAAAGATATATACTGAAATATTTGTAGTGACTTCTAAATGGTGATAACATTATTGGTAATTTTTCTTTCTTTTTGCTTATCTGTGTTTTGAAGTTTATCATCAATGAACGTATTGCTTATGCAATAAAGAAGAACAATATCATTTTATAAAGAGATGCTTAAAGGAAATATAAAAGGAATTTAAGAGAATAGAGTTTGGCCATCTTGAAGATGTCTATAGAGTTAGTATATTACAGATTCCCAGTACTGAAACCAGAAAAAGCAATCAAGCTTCCTCTGTCTGGGCATTTCTGCAGCCGAGGGTTCTCAAATAGTATTTTCTAATAACTAATTATTTAAAAGGGAATCCCTAATCAACTAAAATCTAAATTTCTCATGATTATCAACCATGGTTTCCTGTTTGCCCTCAAAAGATACACAAAATCAATCTACTTTCTGATCTATGTTAAAGTTGTTCAATCTTAAAGGAGAAATTAAGCTACTAGTCCTTTTTTAGACAAAACTCCTTGAGTTTCAACACCTATTTCCCATTTGACATGGTTTCCTTACCCTTCATCACTATCCTCTGATATACTCCAGTCTCTAGGTGTTATTCTAAAAGTGTGTTGCCAAGAACTGTGTACTGAAGTTCTACATCTTTGTTTTTAGCAAGAAGAAAAGTAACAGTCAGAAGGTTAT